CCGCGGTATTAGAGCGCACACGAACGCTTACTGACATTTGACGGTGTGTGGTTTTTTACGCAGTGTCTACGCAAGAAGAGCCCGATCCGCCTCGATTTCGGCGATTCCCCGCCAGCGACCACACGTGTCACAGTCCTACAACCAGCTCCTCCGCGCGCGCCCGCCCCACGTGTACACGTCCCCAGAATTGCGCGCGCGCCCGCCCCACGTGTACCGCGCGCGCTGCTCCCACGTGTGCCACGGCTCCCACGCGCCCCTGCGCCAGCACCCGCACCACGTGTACCACGCGCTCCGGTCCCACGTGTTATACGTTTGCCCCCGCCTATCATTCCTACATTTCGTGGGCTACGTGTGCCACGTGCAATCGAGCGGCCGCGTGCGCGCGCGTTGCCAGCTGCACGTGTGCCACGTGCAATCGAGCGTCCGCGTGCGCGCGCGGTGCCAGCTGTCAGTGCTTTGTTGCGGAGTGTGCCCGTGTACACGTGTGACATCTGCAACTTTCATTGCACGCGCGCGGTACTGTGGGACGGGCATGCGCATACCGAGGGGCACGTGGCTCAAGTGATTCAAGCGGGCCGCACATTCCGCTGCGAGGTGTGTACGTGCACGGTGGCAAGTGCCCACGACTTTAGGCGACACCTGGCGGGCAAGAAGCACAAGAGGAAGCTCCAATCGATCACGGGATAGTACAAGACAATAAAGGCCCTACTGTTACTTCTTTTGCTAAGTGCTCTCGCGGACGACCTAGCTGGCTGACGTTGCGTTTAGACCTTTGAGGACTGCTTGCTACGACTCATAGCGATCTACAACGGACCCCTCGCACTTGCGTCAACCCTAGCTGCACTTGCTGAGATACCACTAGCGCGCTGGGCATAACACAAATGGCGGGACCAGCAGATGAAGACGTAGCAGAAGCAAGAAGGCAGCAAAGAAACGCCCGTACAAGGGCAAGGAGAGCGCAAGAGTCGGAATCTGAAGCTCAAGCACGTCGTGAGGCAGGTCGAGCTCGGGCGAGAATCCGGAGGGGACAACACACCGAATCTGAGGCTCAAGCGCGTCGCCAAACCGCCCGGGAACGTACTGCAGCACGAAGAGCAGCAGAGACTTCTGAGCAGCGCGAAGAGCGTCTTCGTCGAAACAGGGAGAGAACCAGGGCGCGCAGAGCCGGTCAATCACGGACAGAGGGTCCCAGAGAGTCTCCAAAGCTCCGAGCAGCAACGGAACGTGCCAGAGCCTCGAATCGAGCATCTATGCAACGCACGAGACAGGCTGAGAGCACTCCTGACCGCATAACTCGATTGGAGGCCTCTCGTGTCTCAATGCAACAGAGAAGAGCTGACGCGACAACCCCAGAGAGACATGAGCGTCAAGACTCAAACCGAAGATCCACAGAAGCAGCTAGAGCGGAAGAAAATACCCCCCTCCGAGATGCACGGCGCGAAGCGGATCGCAATGCGACACGAGGAGCTAGAGCCGAGGAAATTACTCCTGCTCGTGAGGCGCGGCGAGACCTTGACCGTCTATCCACCCAACGATCAAGGGATGCACAAGACACACCGACTCGGAATGCCCGGCAACGATCCGACGGCCAGGCTCGAACGGCTTCTCGGCAGCTCTTCCCCCCACTACCCGAATCCTCGCCTTCGTTTCGCGATCTCGGCATGGTCCATATTGAGTGTTCGCACTGCAAAGCTCTGCATTTCGTCCAAGAACGCATCGTGAGCAGCTCTGCCGCAAGGCCCATGTTTTCCACATGCTGTGGGGAGGGGAAGCTGTCACTGCCCCTTCTCACCGACCCGCCAGCTCTTCTGCGCTCTCTTCTCATCGATGATACTCCAAGGGCCCGCCGCTTCCGTAAAAACATTCGAGCATACAATTCAGCGCTGTCTATGGCGTCCGTGGTCGCCAAATGGGTGAACAGAGGGCCCGGTACTTCCAATTTTAACCCCACAATGACGATGCAGGGCGAGATGTACCATTACATGGGTCCCATGATTCCATCCGAGGGGCGGGCGCCTTCCTTTGCTTCCGTTTACATTCACGACACTGACTACGGTACTCAAACGCGCACAAGGCTTGGCGGAGCCTCTACACAGCTGGAAGACACACTGTTAATGCAACTGACGCACATGCTGCACGAATGCAACCCCTACGTGCAGACTGTTCTCAGTATGCGAGAATGGGCTCAATCCCCTCAACCCAACACTCCAGCCCCGTACCAGATGGTCATCCATGCCGACCGCAGGCCAAGTCATGAGCACGTGCGCCGGTACAATGGTCCCGAAGCTTCTGAAGTGGCAGCTTTGATCCCTGGAAATGAAGACGGAGAGATTGGGCGAAGAGATATCGTCGTGCGCAGGCGAGGGACTCTGAACAGTAACGGGAACGAAGTGCTGGATCCAATTTCAGTCAGTCATCGTGCATACGATCCGTTGAGTTACGTGCTTTTGTTCCCGAACGGTAGAGATGGATGGTATCCAGAGCTTCGATTCTCCAGTGATGACGACGGCAGACGTACCAAGATTACTCCGATGATGTACTACGGATGGCATTTGTTCGAAAGAGCAGGCGAGTTCAGCACAATTTTGCACGCAGCGCGACTCTTTCAGCAATATTTGGTTGACCAGTTCTGCAAAGTGGAGGCAGAAAGGCTTTCGTATCTCCGCCACAACCAGACACAGCTTCGAGCCGCCGACTACACCTCACTGCGTGACAGCCTAGGAGACTCCGGTCGTGCTGAAGATGAAGCCGATGCTGTGCGTGCGGGACGACTGTTCATTCTCCCTTCCACGTACATTGGAGGTGACCGCTACATGAGGCAGCAGATGCACGACATCATTGCTATATCGAACCAAATTGGCCACCCGGACATCTTCCTCACTATGACATGCAATCCAAGCTGGCCGGAGATCACAAGACCCCTACTGCCGAACCAAACGCCTCAGGACAGACCGGACCTGTGCGCACGTGTGTTTCGTCTGAAAATGAAAGATCTCATGTCCTTGGTCATCAACGAGGAAGTATTCGGAACCGTCGTTGCCCATGTACGAGTCATCGAATTTCAGAAACGCGGTCTTCCCCACGCTCACGTTGTATTTTTCCTAGATGAAGTCTCCAAGAATGATCTGCGTACTCCCGAAAACGTCGACCGCATTATCTCTGCCGAGATCCCGTCTGCCCAAGATCCAGAACTCCAAGAGGTCGTGCTCAAGCATATGATTCACAATCCATGTGGAGAACGCAATCCAACAGCCGTGTGCATGGGCGAGCAGTACTGCAGGAAAGGGTTTCCGAAATCGTTCAAACACGAAACCAGCCAGTCCGACAGTGAGTACTACATCACGTACCGCAGAAGGTCCCCCTCTGCAGGTGGGGTCTCCATCGAGCGACCCTCCCGTGTTGGCCGACGACAGCAATCCGTCGTGGTCGACAACTCCTGGGTCGTTCCCCACAGTCCTCTGCTTTTACGATCATTCGCTTGCCATTTGAATTTGGAACTCTGCGTGTCACGGGTTGGCGGAATCAAGTACCTCTTCAAGTATGTTTGCAAGGGACAAGACCGAGTGACCATGGAAATCACTGCCGAGAACGAGTGCCACGACGAGATCTCCAACTTCCAAGATGCCAGATACGTTTCGGCATCGGAGGCCGCATGGAGGTTATTCTCCTTTGACATTGTAGATCGCAATCCTCCAGTGGTCAGACTTACGGTGCATCTGCCCAACCACCATACAGTATACTTTGAGGAAGGGCGAGAGCAGGAGGCGGCGCTTCGACCAGCATCAGGTACGAAGCTGACCGAGTGGTTTAAAGCCAACGAGAAGTACCCAAGCGCGAGGCATCTTCGGTACCACAAGTTTCCAAGGTACTTTACGTGGAAGACACGCACCAAGTCATGGAGTCCAAGAGCAACCCTGCGAAGACGGAACGCCACCAGCGAAGAGGAAGCCTACGATTTCAGTGGTACAGGTGCCAACGTAGTCGGTCGAATCTACACTGTCAGTCCGAGGGAGGGTGAGCGCTACTTTCTTCGCCTCCTCCTCACACAAGTGCCAGGGGCAACATCCTTCGAGAACTTGCGAAATATCGACGGCGAGCAGTGCACCAGCTTCCGACAAGCTTGCTTACGACTCGGTTTGCTGGCCGACGATGCCGAGTGGAAGCACGCAATCCGAGATTCATTCCGGTCAAGCTTCGTTCCTCTTTCTCATCTGTTGGCTACGATTCTGGCACACTGCCAGCCTTCGGACCCTCTCTCGCTGTGGAACGACCACCGGGACATGTTTCTCACACATATTCGCAATCGTGCACGCAGACAACCCATTCGAAGACAGCAGCTTCGCGATGATCACCACGCCACATCTTACGTACTTCGAGAGGTACAGGAGGCTCTGCAGACCGTGCGATCCGACTGGACGCTCGCAAACTTCGGACTCCCACTGCCCGATGACAGCCTGCCCGCTTTGGAACAGCAAAACGAGATCGAGACCCCCGAAGCACGAGCGCAGCAGTGGGAAGGGCGACTACAGACGTCGTTGCCGCTGTTGAACACAAATCAACGTCATGCCTTTGACGAAATAGTGGGCTCCTTGCTTCCAGGCGTATCCGTCTCTGCATTGCTTCAAGGATCCTTAAGCGCCGTTGCGGGACCTTCTATGCCGACACGAAGTGGTCGTATCTTCTTCCTCGATGCTCCTGGCGGAACAGGCAAAACATTCGTGCTCAGCGCCATTCAAGACTTCCTTCGTACGCGCCGTAAGCAGGTCATCGCTGTCGCTACGTCTGCTGTTGCTGCTGTGCTGCTCGACGGTGGACGCACCGCTCATTCCGTGTTCAAGATTCCCATTCCTGTATCTGCCGAAAGCACGTGCAGCTTCTCCGCAAACTCCGACACAGGCCGTACACTGCAACAAGTCGATCTCATCATATGGGACGAGATCGTCATGTGCCATCGACATTGCATTGAGACTGTCGATCGCTCCCTTCGAGACTTGATGCAAACCGACCGGCCCTTCGGAGGAAAGTTCCTCGTGCTCGCTGGAGACTTTAGACAAATCCTTCCCGTCGTTCCGGGCGGGTCCAGAGGTCAAATCGTGAGTGCGTGCGTCAAGGCTTCCCCGCTGTATCGAGAGTGCCGATTCCTGCGCCTTACTGAGAACATGCGCCTTGCTGCTCTCCGAGCGGACCCTGCAGCAGATGTGGAGGCTCTCAACTTTCCAGAATTCCTCCTCAGCGTCGGGGAAGGCAGACTTCAAGGCGAACAGCGCCCGGAATGGATCTCACTACCACAGTCCGTTGCGTTCGAGCACACCATCCGCAATTTGTGCCTCAAGGTCTTCCAAGGCATTCGAGACAATCACGCCGACCCTGCCTGGCTCACCAAGCGCGTTATACTCACCACAAAGAACAAGCCGCTCGAGGAAGTCAACGAGGTCATCGGCAACATGATTCCGGGATCGTATCGAACGTATTTGAGCGCAGACAAGGTCAAGAACGAAGACACCAACGCGCTGATCTATCCCACAGAAATGCTCAACACCTTGACCGCCGGATCTGCTCTACCAGACCACAAGCTCAAGCTCAAGAAAGGCTTCATCGTCATGCTTCTGTGCAATCTCGATCCCGCTACCGGTCACGTCAACGGCGCGCGATATGTCATCGAAAACATGACCAACAACCTGCTCTTTCTACACGTTACCACCGGGTCACACCAAGGCAACAGACTGTGTCTTCCTCGAATGCCCTGCGGACCAGGAGACGACAACTTTCCCATCCCTGGCTTCACCCGAACGCAGTTCCCCATTCGCACGTGCTTCGCCCTTACAACGAACAAAGCGCAAGGCCAATCCTTCGGTGGCCGCATTGGTCTCGACTTACGAGATCACTGCTTCTCGCACGGTCAACTCTATGTCGCACTATCAAGGACTACTCACCCAGGCAACGTCACTGTCCTCACTCGAGAGTCCAATGAAACCACTCGAAACGTAGTGTACCCCGAGGTCCTTCAGTAGTTACCAAAAAAGTAAACGCCATTGTCTTTACATACTTTCATTGCCACCCTTCCCAAATAGTGTTCCTCCACGCTTCCTTGGCTCGGCGCGCAAAGCACGCACGGAGCCCACTTGTCCCCGCGTATACTAATTTCCGTGTCTGTCTGTCTGTGTGTTTGTGTATGTGTGTTCGTGCGCTCCCGCACGGGTTCTCATTGGCGCACGGGGGCGCTGCGGCGACAAGTGGCGGCCACGCGGACACGTGTAGAAAGCGGCGGGGCCGTGATTTAATTTCATTTTTTACTACAGTGACAAGTGTACTGTGCGGACTGGGGGCGGCCTGGCCGCAGGCCAGCGCGCCACTGGGACACGTGGCTACCACGGGCACCAATGCGGCACTACAGTAGTTTACGAATTTAAATTTAACACTACAGTAGAGTAAAAATAATAATACAGCCCCGATCCGCTTCGCGTTCGCTAGCGATCCCGGCGCACACCGTGTGGAGGCAGAAAGGCTTTCGTATCTCCGCCACAACCAGACACAGCACGAGACACAGCTTCGAGGCGCCGACTACACCTCACTGCGCGACAGCCTAGGAGACTCCTGTCGTGCTGAAGATGAAGCCGATGCCGTGCGTGCGGGACGACTGTTCATTCTCCCTTTCACGTACATTGGAGGTGACCGCTATATGAGGCAGCAGATGCACGACATCATTGCTATATCGAACCAAATTGGCCACCTGGACATCTTCCTCACTATGACATGCAATCCAAGCTGGCCGGAGGTCACAAGACCCCTACTGCCGAACCAAACGCCTCAGGACAGACTGGACCTGTGCGCCCGTGTGTTTCGTCTGAAAATGAAAGATCTCATGTCCTTGGTCATCAACGAAGAAGTATTCGGAACCGTCGTTGCCCATGTACGAGTCATCGAATTTCAGAAACGCGGTCTTCCCCACGCTCACGTTGTATTTTTCCTAGATGAAGTCTCCAAGAATGATCTGCGTACTCCCGAAAACGTCGACCGCATTATCTCTGCCGAGATCCCGTCTGCCCAAGATCTAGAACTCCAAGAGGTCGTGCTCAAGCATATGATTCACAATCCATGTGGAGAACGCAATCCAACAGCCGTGTGCATGGGCGAGCAGTACTGCAGGAAAGTGTTTCCAAAATCGTTCAAACACGACACCAGCCAGTCTGACAGTGAGTACTACATCACGTACCGCAGAAGGTCCCCCTCTGCAGGTGGCGTCTCCATCGAGCGACCCTCCTGTGTTGGCCGACGACAGCAATCCGTCGTAGTCGACAACTACTGGGTCGTTCCCCACAGTCCTCTGCTTCTACGATCATTCGCTTGCCATTTGAATGTGGAACTCTGCGTGTCACGCGTTGGCGGAATCAAGTACCTCTTCAAGTATGTTTGCAAGGGACAAGACCGAGTGACCATGGAAATCACTGCCGGGAACGAGTGCCACGATGAGATCTCCAACTTCCAAGATGCCAGATACGTTTCGGCATCGGAGGCCGCATGGAGGTTATTCTCCTTTGACATTGTAGATCGCAATCCTCCAGTGGTCAGACTTACGGTGCATCTGCCCAACCACCATACAGTATACTTGGAGGAAGGGCGAGAGCAGGAGGCGGCGCTTCGACCAGCATCAGGTACGAAGCTGACCGAGTGGTTTAAAGCCAACGAGAAGTACCCAAGCGCGAGGCATCTTCGGTACCACAAGTTTCCAAGGTACTTTACGTGGAAGACACGCACCAAGTCATGGAGTCCAAGAGCAACCCTGCGAAGACGGAACGCCACCAGCGAAGAGGAAGCCTACGATTTCAGTGGTACAGGTGCCAACGCAGTCGGTCGAATCTACACTGTCAGTCCGAGGGAGGGTGAGCGCTACTTTCTTCGCCTCCTCCTCACACAAGTGCCAGGGGCAACATCCTTCGAGAACTTGCGAAATATCGACGGCGAGCAGTGCACCAGCTTCCGACAAGCTTGCTTACGACTCGGTTTGCTGGCCGACGATGCCGAGTGGAAGCACGCAATCCGAGATTCATTCCGGTCAAGCTTCGTTCCTCTTTCTCATCTGTTTGCTACGATTCTGGCACACTGCCAGCCTTCGGACCCTCTCTCGCTGTGGAACAACCACCTGGACATGTTTCTCACCGATATTCGCAATCGTGCACGCAGACAACCCATTCGAAGACAGCAGCTTCGCGATGATCACCACGCCACATCTTACGTACTTGGAGAGGTACAGGAGGCTCTGCAGACCGTGCGATCCGACTGGACGCTCGCAAACTTCGGACTCCCACTGCCCGATGACAGCCTGCCCGCTTTAGAACAGCAAAACGAGATCGAGACCCCCGAAGCACGAGCGCAGCAGTGGGAAGGGCGACTACAGACGTCGTTGCCGCTGTTGAACACAAATCAACGTCATGCCTTTGACGAAATAGTGGGCTCCTTGCTTCCAGGCGTATCCGTCTCTGCATTGCTTCAAGGATCCTTAAGCGCCGTTGCGGGACCTTCTATGCCGACACGAAGTGGTCGTCTCTTCTTCCTCGATGCTCCTGGCGGAACAGGCAAACATTCGTGCTCAGAGCCATTCAAAACTTCCTTCGTACGCGCCGTAAGCAAGTCATCGCTGTCGCTACGTCTGCTGTTGCTGCTGTGCTGCTCGACGGTGGACGCACCGCTCATTCCGTGTTCAAGATTCCCATTCCTGTATCTGCCGAAAGCACGTGCAGCTTCTCCGCAAACTCCGACACAGGCCGTACACTGCAACAAGTCGATCTCATCATATGGGACGAGATCGTCATGTGCCATCGACATTGCATTGAGACTGTCGATCGCTCCCTTCGAGACTTGATGCAAACCTACCGGCCCTTCGGAGGAAAGTTCCTCGTGCTCGCTGGAGACTTTAGACAAATCCTTCCCGCCGTTCCGGGCGGGTCCAGAGGTCAAATCGTGAGTGCGTGGGTCAAGGCTTCCCCGCTGTATCGAGAGTGCCGATTCCTGCGCCTTACCGAGAACATGCGCCTTGCTGCTCTCCGAGCGGACCCTGCAGCAGATGTGGAGGCTCTCAACTTTCCAGAATTCCTCCTCAGCGTCGGGGAAGGCAGACTTCAAGGCGAACAGCGCCCGGAATGGATCTCACTACCACAGTCCGTTGCGTTCGAGCACACCATCCGCAATTTGTGCCTCAAGGTCTTCCAAGGCATTCGAGACAATCACGCCGACCCTGCCTGGCTCACCAAGCGCGTTATACTCACCACAAAGAACAGGCCGCTCGAGGAAGTCAACGAGGTCATCGGCAACATGATTCTGGGATCGTATCGAACGTATTTGAGCGCAGACAAGGTCGAGAACGAAGACACCAACGCCCTGATCTATCCCACAGAAATGCTCAACACCTTGACCGCCGGATCTGCTCTACCAGACCACAAGCTCAAGCTCAAGAAAGGCTTCATCGTCATGCTTCTGCGCAATCTCGATCCCGCTACCGGTCACGTCAACGGCGCGCGATATGTCATCGAGAACATGACCAACAACCTGCTCTTTCTACACGTTACCACCGGGTCACACCAAGGCAACAGACTGTGTCTTCCTCGAATGCCCTGCGGACCAGGAGACGACAACTTTCCCATCCCTGGCTTCACCCGACCGCAGTTCCCCATTCGCACGTGCTTCGCCCTTACAACGAACAAAGCGCAAGGCCAATCCTTCGGTGGCCGCATTGGTCTCGACTAACGAGATCACTGCTTCTCGCACGGTCAACTCTATGTCGCACTATCAAGGACTACTCACCCAGTCAACGTCACTGTCCTCACTCGAGAGTCCAATGAAACCACGCGAAACGTAGTGTACCCCGAGGTCCTTCAGTAGTTACCAAAAAAAGTAAACGCCATTGTCTTTACATATTTTCATTGCCACCCTTCCCAAATAGTGTTCCTCCACGCCTCCTTGGCTCGGCGCGCGAAGCGCGCACGGAGCCCACTTGTCTACAACTACTAAAATCCGTGTCTGTGTGTGTGTCTGTATGTCCTTGCGCTCCCGCGTTGCCATTGGCGCTACCGTAACAAGTGGCGGCCACGGGCGGGGCCTGGCCGCAGGCCAGGCCGCCACGGGGACACGTGGCGGTGACAAGTGGCGACAAGTGTAACATTTTAAATTAAAATTACTGTGCGGACTGCGGGGCGGGGCCCCACTACAGTACAGGCTGACAAGTGGCGACAAGTTAAATTTTAAAATTAAAATAACTGTGCGGACTGCCGAGCGCGGCCGCGCTACAGTACACTACAAATTTTAGCCCGGATCCGTTTAAACCGCGCCACGCAGATCTACATTGTGGGCGGAACTGCGGCGGGCACTGCGAGCACGTGACGGCGGTGTGGTAGATGGACGCATACGACAGAGGGGCGGACGCGTGAGACACGGAGCTGCCCGAAATACCGGAGGCTCGTGGCGACGTGGGCGGGGCGGTGGTGCGCGGGGGGCTGTGCGTGAGGGGGCCGGAATTCTTCAAGGCGGAGTTGCGCAGCGCGTGGTGCTCCGACTTTGGGGGCCGGATGTGGATGCGCGGCGACGAGGAAGTGCGGGCCGGGGCGGCGACGGGCGGCGATAGGGACGGTGGGCTGCAAGATGATGGTGGGCGGAGGGCGGTTTTGGGTGTGCGGCGATGACGTGGAGGAGATGTGGGCTGGGGCAGCGATGGGAACGGTGGGGGAGGGTAGGTAGGGGGCGCCGAAGCGGGGCAGCATGGATCACCACACTCGCCCGTGCGCGTGCGGGAGCGGAGGGCGCGGGAGCGGACCGGGCCAGAGCTGGACGGCGTGGAGCACTACAAGGGTCTTCAACCGGGCGAGCTTGCCGGGGAGCGGTGGAGGCGGGACGGCGAGTGGGCTTCAACCGGGCGAGGGTGTTGGGGGGCGGGGAAGGCGCGACGGCGAGCGGCCGCTAACTGGGTTGCTCAGAGACGGTTACCGACGTCGTGTGCCGGGTAGCAGCGGAGGCAGGCGTTGACGCCGTGGTGGGCGAGTGCGGCGGGTGGGACGGGCGTGCGCGCGAGATCGCGGACGCCGTGTGCATGGAGCTCCACGCAAAGCGGTTCCCAGCTGCGGCGGAGACTCTGCTGGACAGGCGGGCGGGCGAAGCGCGCGTGGTGGCGAGCTGCGTGGAGATTCTGCGCAACATGAGCGGGCAGCACGCGGCGAAAAGCGCCGTGCGCGGCGAGATGGGGCGGACGACGTGCGTGGTGGGTGGCAGTGGCGGGGGGGACGGACGCCGGCGTGGCAGAGACGTTCTGCGGGCTGGTGGGCGGGGTGTACCTGCGGGGCGGGGACGTGGTGGACGGGTGCGCTTCGGAAGGGGCGGTCGAGGTAGTGGTGGGAGCGGTGGCGCGGAGGGCGGCGGCGCGGGCCGCACGCATCACGGAGGGGCGAAGAACGGGGAAAGTGGTAGCTGCAAGCCAGGCAGGTGTCGCAGCCGGCGGTGCAGGAGGGCGCGCGCAGGCGGGTGGGTGCCGGGAGCCGGCGCCAGGTAGCAGTGTTAGGCGGAAGCAAGCGGCGGCGTAAAGGGCAGCGGCGCTGACCATGTTTGCGGGCTGCAGGGACCGAGCCGCAGCCGGGGGGGAAGGGGACACAGGCTGGCGGCGGCGCAGAGGGCGGCGGCGCGGACCGGGCGCCACGCGCATGGGCGAGTAATGTGTAGCAGGACGAGGGGGCAAGGGGCGACAAAGACCGGAGAGAATACGGGAGAGTTAGCGCAGAGGGAAGGGGAGCAGCGGGGCGGGGAACGACAGCGTGTGCAGAACGAGGAGCAGAGGAGGAAGGGACTTGGATAGGCGCGCGAAGCGCGCACGGAGCCCACTTGTACCCTTTACTGTATTGCAAATATTGTAATACTGTACTACAGTATTCCCCCGTTGTCCGCATGCCACTAGGTCAACTGAACGAGTACAGTATACAAATAACGGGGTTATGCTGACAGCGAAGGAATTTTTACTGTTTTCTGAAATGGTCAAATATCGTTTACTGATGGAACGCAGCCTGATTTCGCAATCTTAAGTTCTTCTAGCACTGCCTTAATCGTTTCTGTAGGCTTTTGTCCATTCTTTCCAATACAGATCCTTCTACTGCCAAACCCTTCAACTCCTCCTCAATACTGTAAAACTCCTTCTCGGCATCGCTTCCTTGTGGCTCTTCTTCAATACCCTCCATACTGGCGATAAATTCCCTCTGGTTTTCAATAGTTAGTATCTCCGTCACCTCGTCCTCCCCAACTGGATTTAGTAGACTCTCTACTCTGTAATGCAATCCGTTTGAACCTTACACCGTGCTCATTGTAACTACGGATTTCACATTTTAAGAATGTGATATATGCGGGGGAATGATCCCCAAAATACAACTGAAAAACATGCTGCAGCTGGGATTGTGTATGCACGTATGCAGTATGCAGTCTATTGGCCATTCAAGGTAAAAATCCCAACTTTTTCACGGTAAATGATATTTGCATGCAACTTTCGAGGGTATGCAGACAGCGAGGTCTGCATAAAGCGGGGTTTCTGTCGGACTTATGAGGTCTCGGAGACTCGAGATACTCGACAGATAATTGGTCACACGTCAGCCCAAAACGAGATCGAGATCGACTCGAAATAATAAGAAATTTACATTCAGTCCATGGGCGATTAGCGCCGACGAGACTGAGTCCACCACATATACCTGGGTACGATCCTCATCACTAGTAGAGGAGGCAGTTGGGTTTATCGAAGTAAAGTGCATTTTATGCGTATCTTTGACAGAAGGGAAGAGACCCCTCTACCCAACATCCTGTTCTCCTTTTTCTCCACACCCCCTCCTGCACGAGCCTTTACTGTTCGACGATTGTACGACGAGAACCTCGTGCGCAGAGAGCAAAGAAGGTTTCCAACGACAATCCGGATTCTGGATACTTATCTTCGCTCATACGTCTACCTTGAATCTACTTGTTCCCTAGTGGTTGACCACCATGGCTACCGCTACCCGTGCTCAAGTGAATGCCCGGTACCAGCGCCTCAAGCGATCTGCATCTATAGTAGAACCCACTACTGAACATGGAAAACAGCTATGGGACGTAGCTCTCTACACCCTCAACCTGTACCCCATAGCCGACGAATCGGCAAGTTCTGCGAGTGTAACTGTGCCCCTTATTGATGAAGTGAGAGAAGCCATGAAGAGTTTGATGCCGTCACCTGAGGACATTCTGAATGTGGAACTACTACGCGCGCCTTTGTTCCCTCTTGCTTTGTTACGGGATATTGCCACTCTCTATGGATTTGGTGGTGTTCTTGACGGTTTGAGCACAACATTAGAACTGAGTTCTAGTGATACCAGCAACCGTTCAATCATGACACACGTTTGGGTTACAAACTTCTTAGGGTGCTCTCGCGATACTATTCGCACCGCTGTGGGAACGTATCGTCGTACTCAGGGATCACCCAACCTCCTAACCAAACAAATGAGTGTTGCAACTGAAGCACCCGTGTTTTTAACTGCAGGTGTCCAAGCAACACCACAAGTCGTACCAGCGGACAACAGGGACAATTTCGGTGACACTCCGTCTTCGATAGCGAATGTTATTACCACTCCGAGAGGTAATGGAACTTCCCAGCATACTCATCATCGTCAAGCTATCAATGTTGCAGGAGCGGAACATGGCATTCGTAATGATAATCAAACAAATGGTGCTGTCCCACCGTCTACGACTGTCGCAGGGGTCGAATCTTCCCTTCCGTATTCGATAGATGTGAGAGAAGACACTCGAAAGGAAATCTATGTATTTCAGCACTTCAAGGATTACCGTTTTACCGGTGGCCTGACTCAGTCAATCGAAATGACGCTTCGCGACTACAACATATGTGCACGTCAACATCGCTTGTCTACTTCGCAAAAGGCCGACTACTTCGTTAACATTCTTAATGGACTGGCAAGGACATTCTTCTTCAATAACGCTAGAGATGATATGCCTTTTGAACAGATGGCAGAGATTATGGTGACAGAATTCAACAGTAACGCACGCCAAATCCAAGTATATGGAATACTGTCTACGTTAAGAATGAACAGTATAATGTCGGAACATGAGCTATCCTCATCCACTGAGGGCTTGACTAAGGTTGTCAGCATGATCGAAGAGATGTCACCACAATGCCCTCCACATTTTAGATCTGAACCGCACAAGATCGGATACTTGCGCAACGCTGTATTGTGCTACTCTTGGTCGAAGACTCCCATAAGTAATATTGTCACTGCGCAATACTCATTCAATGGATTTATCACATCACTCCGTGAGCACATGCAACTTGAAGAAGAGATACTCAATGTATCCAGGAGACCTACGGGTATCCGACATGCTTTCTCAGACGACATTTTCGTACAACAGTATGGCCGTAACCCGAAGTATGTGCAGAAGTACCCTCCGAGAGGAGGATTCAAGGGTAGACAACAATTGAATATTGGTCGCCCGGGCATTGCTTTTCTCCCGCAAATCGTACTTTCGAAGAGAGCAGACGTCAGAAAGAATGTCATAGATGTCGTGTTGCATGGCGTCCAGCACATCGATGCAAAGCCGGATCCATTCGGAATCAGGTGCGTCAGCGGATGGTCAATGGCGAATCGGCAGTACATGTCATGTCTGACTTTGTCGCAGCCCTGGATAGAGAACTCATTCAAGACCTCCCTGAATCAACGGATACCCCAAACAATTTGACACGCGAC